CTTGCGATTGTTAGGGTTCGAAAATGCGACTCGCTGCAAGCTCAGGCGATGTGGTTTTACGCTGTCGCGGGCTGTTTTAGCAGGCAGTTTTAGTAGATCGTTCCTATTGGCCTCGAGATCGACCTAGAGGTGGCGCTACGGTCGCGCTATCATCATCATCAAAGCGGGGATAGGAGAACGGCCGCCCCATAGGCTCTCCATGTTCGCGCGCGAGGCGGCGTAGATTCTTGCGTTTATTTTGTCGCATACTATCGGTGGGAAAACAATTCTTGCGGAAAAGGATGCAGTACTGTTCGGTGCTTCAGTGAAGATCGAATCGTGTTGCCAGTGTGCGGCCTAAATTTATATAATCGCTTCTGTCGGTGCGTCTTCTGCTCTAGGCAGACGTTGGAAAGCATGGATCACCACGACTGAGGCCTGTCTCCGTCTGAGCTGGAATATTTATGTTAAGTATTTGTTTCTTTTAAAATGAATGTATCGGTTCATCAAGGTGGCAATTAAAAAAAAAAACAATAAATTCCAACCCAGATAACACAATACTGGTACTGTAGGCTGTGAAATCGCAGCTTCTATGCTTTTTAACTTCTAGCTTTTGCTGTAATATAAATATTTAGAATGAAGATAAGTTAGCGCTGTATTGGAAATTACCATGCTATTGAGCTCTTCTGCCCTTTTACTGTGCGATAGTGTGGGTAAGTGTTTTGGAGTCTGAACAAATCTACTGCGTTGCGATGAGGAGAGAGAGTCTCTTCCAGTTAAATTCTACAAACTGCACGGTTGGCAGGCTAACTGAAACAAGTGAAACAAACTCTTCTAATATATCTGCCGTGACTGATAAACAAGTGTAACCGAGCAACGCAGCAATGTTCCTGTTATTAAATGCTTTTCTCGGTAGTGTGGGTTCACCCGCTTCAATTTTCTTGGTGAGGGCGCGCATGTCAAGAGGCTAATACTATAAATTTCTGGCTAAATAATTGTAGTGGCAGCTCTCGGCAGCGATCCAGCACTTGAACGGTGCCAAGCTCACGGGACAGGCACGAGCTAAGGACACGAGGTGCCAGTACCACGAGCTGCACGGAATCTGGAATTCGGCGAAGGGCCCCTCGATGAGGTAGTCAAAAAGGACAGTGTAAACATTGTAAATAAATATGTAGAGTATGATTTACCGAGCCTCCACTCCTACATAATGTTGTATTCAAACACAGTAGACTTTGCAACCCAAACAAACGACGCGCACTACGACAGAGACAGCATCGGCCGCAGCGATACTCTTTTACTGATGATGGCTAGCGACCTTCACGAGACTTTCCGATCACCCTCCGCTCTCACCTAACGTATATCGGGACTGGGCAGTTCATCGAATAACTTTCAGATTATTCAAGTAATGCTTTAATCACAATTTTTTTTTCTTTTTTTGCCGGTTAATTGGAATTTTGTGCTGGAGAAAGTCAACAAGGAGTAAAAAATGCCTGCTTCAATATTTTTGACGTCTTTATTTCTTTTGTGACACAGGCTTGCACGGTGAACCACTTCTGCGTGCTTCTCATTTCGCCGAGGGTGATTACACTGTTTAAGTATAAATAATAACTAAAAAAATACTCCATTTTAAAAGGCTTATTTCCCGCGTTCATGTTTATGTAGGACTCACAATGTGAAGTTTAGAATGGGAATGCAATATGGCCATTTATGGCATAGTAAAACCAATAAAAAAATGTGTAGTTTTAACCTCTTTCACGCAATATGACCGGCGAAAAATCAACATACGGATGTATTGATTGATTAGTCTATTAAAGGATAGCGATCAGCCCGATTAATTTTCTAATCAAACCACAGACCCACTCAAGATTCAGTGCTTTATGAAAGCCACGGTTTGTGCGAGATAACAAAAATATGTGGGACCAGCGATTGTATACAAGCCAACATAGTAAAATTATGGAAGCTTCCGACTTAATAATAATCGCTTTGCTGAATTTTTACGCTTGGGAAACGATACAAGACAACCTTCAGTAAGAAGAAACGGCAACAAAAATATAAAACATTTAATAAGGAATGTCAAGCTCAGCCTGAAACGGGCTTGCGTCGTCGAGATCCATGCTTCTGAGCGTGCGCCCGTAGCAGACGACGCACGGCGGTATCCCCGCTTTCGCCCGTTTCCGATTTCGGCCGCACGGTGGCGACACGGTTCGATCTCGAGGCGAATATGACTCCGATAACGGTACTCTGCCGCCGCCTTAGCGCATGCATCGTATCGTTTCATTTAATTTAATTCATTTATTCCGCAGTATACAAAGGAAACAGAACAGTGAAAATATGAACAAACATCATGCAAAAATAGAATATAATGAAAAGACGTGGAAAACATACATATCAATTTACGCAGTATTGAGCAGACGCACTTTTAAATTTGTCGACATTTAGTAAAGACACAATGTTTGCTGGAAGTTTGTTCCAGTCGGGAAATGGCCAACTAAAATGGTGATGTCTGGAAAAGTTTAGTATGTGATGTGTGTAATAGTATCTTTATGCTAATGATCAAATCGAGGAAAAATACGGTGTGGCGGCTGAAAAAACGTTCAAGCTTGAGGAGTGGGTTATTATAATATATGTTATGGATGAAGGTTAGCCTAGAAAGTTTTCTTCTGGTAGAGAGGAGTGGCAAGTCTGCTTTTCTTTTTTTTTTTTTTTCAGCTGAGATACGCTTGTGTGTCGAAAATAATCTTTGTAAATAAATCTGCTTGCCCTGTCTTGAATTGACTCTATTTTTTTTTTAATTAGGTAGTCTTGAGAAGGATTCCATATGATAGAAGCATATAAGTGAGACCGAACATATGATTTGTGAGCGAGTAAACGAACCTCCGGAGGTGCCATACATAAAATTCGTCTTAGAAAACCTAATGACCTACTAGCCTTGCTAGCCATATAATTTACGTGATCTTGCCAGTGTAAGTTCTCGCTCAAAATAACTCCTAGATATTTGTAGTTATTTACTTTCTCAATTGACAGATGACCTATTGAGTAATTGAAGCTTACAATGGATTTTTTTTTTTTTTTTTTTTGTGGAGAAGCTTATGAATTTAGATTTTGAGGTATTGATGCTCATTTGCCAGCGATCACACCACAAAGAGAGGGCGTCTAAGTCATACTGTAGTGAGAGAAAGTCGGTCTGGTTTTTGACAGTTCTATTAATAACCCAGTCGTCTGCAAAGAAGGAAATGCTAGTGGCAATAGCATTAATATAGATAAGGAATGACAAGGGGCCCAAATTTGATCCCTGAGGAACTCCAGAGTTCACATTAATACTAGAAGGAACATTACAGTGAAAAGAAACTGCCTGCGTTCTGTTGGTCAAGAATTCCCGAATCCGGTTAATTAAAGAACTATCAATATTAAGACACTAAAGCTTTTTATGTAGGCGTTTATGTGGCACGCGGTCGAACGCCTTAGAAAAATCAATACAAATTGTGTCAGTCTGTACTCGTGAATGTATGTTTGTGTGTAGATCGGTTAATAATTCAAAAAGTTGGGTTTCGCAAGACCGGTTCTTCCTAAAGCCAGGCTGGTTTATGAAAATGAAATCGTTGTCTACAAGAAAGTTCATCATAGGAGTGTACAAAACATGCTCAAGAATCTTGCATGGGACACTGGTGAGAGATATCGGTCGACAATTACAAAACAAAGATTTACTATACTAGATTTGTAAACTGGAGTGACGATTGCATGTTTTCAGTCATGCGGTAGAATGCTCTGGTCTAAGGATTGTTGATAAATCTGTATACAAGAAGCCCGGCATATGGCTGTGTTTGATAAAAACCCGAGACTGCGGGTAAACGACACAACACTAAAAACCCGCAGTCTCGGGGTTTTTTCAACCATGTGCAATGTACACCAGCTCGTTCGCGCCCTTACTTTTTGTTCATATGGCTGTGTTAGTTTTAGTAGCTTGCAACTGATGCCGTGGGCACTAGCAAAAACCGGAGTGGCAGGTTTTGTATTATACTGTTAATATCATCCGGGTCAATTTCAATCTTCGATAATAACGAATGGTTGTGTGCAAAATCACACTGAGGCAGCGGGTAAGACTCTTCGGTAAGGGAAGTACCGGAGTCATCGGAACGATCTACTAAAGCTCCCTCGCATTTCTGGAGGACGGAAAGCCGTTCCCATTCTAATTTTTTTCAGATAAAGCCGCCGATAACCGAAGCAACGTGTTTAGGCAACAGGAATGGCTCAAGGTTCGTTACTCCGAAGCGTATAGCTTATTTAGTGCTCCCTTCCGAGGGTCAAGCGACACTGACACGTCATTGGATTGGCTCCGGATGGCTTCGTCCCTGCGCAGTCCATGGCAAAGAGAAACGGGCCGCCGCCTGAAACCGAAAGCAGAAGAAAGCCAAGACCGAAACGAATGGCCAGCCTAAATAAGAAGAGTCGCGCGCGAGTGCCCCCGTCGAATCAAGGCCATAGTTCGCACGCATGCGCACTCGGCCAGGCAGGCACGCACGCACGCGCGCGAGTGCCTTTCCACGCTTTATTTATTTATATTGTGCATTCCGCGTTTTTTTTTTTTTTTTTTTCTGCACGTGACGCCTGAGCGAAGATGGTCCCTGTCGTGAACTTCCCACAGTGCACCAAGGAGGGAAAAAAAATGCAAAACAGAAAGGGAAAATGTAAGAGTCATCGCGCGGGAGCAACCGAGGAGCAACACGCGGACGCGCGAAAGGATGAGAGAGAGTAAAAAGCAACAAGTGCACTCTTGCAACACCCTCGCCGGCGAGGCAAGAAGAAAGGGGTCAAACCTCGTTTGTTTTTTTTTCTTTTTCGCTTTCTTTCGTCTTTTCGTTTGTTTTGGATGGATGGTCCCTTCGTTTCTTTAATTTTACTTTTAGTGTTTCGGTCGCTTCGAGTGTCGTCGTCTGGCTTTTTTCACCGAGCGTGTGTCTCGTTGGAGGAGTGCTTCTGGTCGCTTCTCCTGGTACTCCCCGCGCTCGCCTCCCGCTTGCCGCGAAACTGGACTGTAGTGAGAACGGGGAAGGGGGGTGGCGCGTGAGATCCTACTTTCTCGGTCTCTCTCTACTCCATTCTTCTTGATTGTTGATTAGCGCGAGGGGGGTAAGAGCTGCAAGAGCGAGCTCGTGAGCGCGCGTGTCTGGCAATTGGGGAGGGGGGCAAGAAAGGATGCTGCCTTGCCCGTTGTTGTGGTGGTGGCCCCTCCTCCTCCCCTTTGCCGGCGCCCGTGCTCTTGTCCGTTACTTGATGTCGGTTCGCCTTGGCGACTGGCTGGCTGCGTGCCGCTCCCCGTCTTCTTGGCCACCAGCTGTCGCCCTTTTGGACTTTGCATACGCCTCGCCGAGTGAGTCGCCTTTTCTCTTTGTTTTCTCGATCGGGAGAAATGGTGCTAATCCAAGTTGTGGTCGTTGGACGGTTGTGTCTCTGGCTAAATTCGCGACTTTCAGGCGATGGTTTGGTGGTAACCGCGGTGTGAGAATCGAACTCCTGGCGGCCATATCCGTATGCGCTGCTGCTGAGCGCGTGCTGACGGCGAGCTTCCGCAGTCCTTGTCGAGCGTACATTTAGCAACATAGGGTTGCCGGTCTTAGCAGGCTATTAATGTGAGCTCGTTCTGAGCATGCGCTCTAAACATTGCCCTCAAATATGGCGTCCAGTGAATACCTCCTATAGTTCGTGGATGATGGACTTCATCGTAAAGGTCGGTTCCCTCGCGTAGCGCTAAGTCTACGCGAGGGAAAGAACAGCGCTGATGCGGAGCTGACTTAGCGCGAAGCTGGGGCTGCATCAGCACGGTCAGCGCTGGGTAGCGCTGCGCCGTATGTGCGAACAGGCGTTAGTTAGATGCCTGCATGTTTACACTTTTTCTGACCAGAAAGAAATGAGTTGAGCCTCTGCTACCGGTCGCATTTAACGAAATTAGATTTACTCGTACGAGCGACAGACCGCGAACCTCGTACTGTTGTTGTACACCGATCAACCAGATGACAGCCATTTTGATAGGTACTCAGTTCGTCCCCTGTGCGTCGTAAAAAAAAAAAAAAAGATGCAAAAAAAAAAATCTTTTTTTCGTAAAATTTGCAGTTAGACCGACTGATTGGAACCGGGGAGTTGTGCGGCTTACCGAAGAATCGAGCGTATTGGTTAACTCGACTACATTAGTTAATAACACTGACAAAATCAGAACGGCAAAGCGTCTTTTTCTTTTTTGTTTTTCTTTCACATGCCCGGCTTTTAGAGCGCGCTGGTTGCCTTCCGTGGTGCTTTTGCGGTGCGTCCCTTCTGTCGTGATTTTCCGGCGCGCGCTAGCTCCAAGCTCTCGAGACACCAAAGCACTGTCGAAGGTAGGAAGCTCGCGCTGGAGGCGGGAAGGACCTCCTTGCCGTTCTCGCCCCGTCGGTAGCTGTAACGATCGAAAGGGACAAGTAGAACGCACGACACGTCTTTCGACTGCAGCTGCGTGAAGGAAGCGGGTGGGTGGAGCCCAAGACTCTTCACTGCGACTATACGAAGGATTCCTGTATAGTTCGAGTCCAAGGGTATACCTTCAACAGTGGCAGTCGAAAGATGTGTTTAGCCAGCGTTTGTGTGTTCTCGCTTTTGACTTAATTGCAGACTGTCCTTTTGAGTTAATTGCAGACTGTCCTTTGTTTAATGTATAGATTATGCTCCGTTGACCCTTAAGCTGAGACTAGAAGCTCCGCCTTCAGTACGAGCTCGCTGGCTTCCGCAGTGCTTTGGTTGCGCTTGCCCGCGCGTTCACGCCTGTGCTAGCAAGGACAGAAAGCTCGCGCTGAAGGCGGAGCTTCTAGTCTCAGCTTAAGAGGCGGACGAAGTGGAGTGTCTGCTACTTTCCGTGACCGCCGCCATGACAGTTTATTTGCAAGACTCCGTTTTTCTTAGAAGCCTTCGCATACATCGTAGTGCAAGAACGTCAGGAATGCATAGTCAGGAAGCTCGAAGAACAACGCCGATGCCAAGAATGCTGTAAAAAGCAAAAATCTTCTTTTATGTGCAGCCCCTCTCTTCACATTTTATCGCATTTTATCATTGCACCGATCACTAAGTTCTCCGACGTTTTGCAAACATTTACCGTTCGAGATTATTGTGGGCAGGTTGGCTAGCTACGTTGAGTGCGCTTCCCGCTGCGCTCTGCTGTGCTGCAGAGAAGCGACGTCTGCGGAGGTGACATTGCGGTTCTGCGTATCTTGCTTCGCCGCAGCGCAGCCGTGTGCTAAGGAGGAAAACCACTCCTCCAGAGCGACATGTTGCACGTGTACAAATTTTAAAAAAAATTATGAAAAACAAAAAAAAAACGGAAGAGGGTTTTGGGGGGGAGGGGGGGGGGAATTTTGTGGATTTAGATGTGACAGTTATTTGGTGAATAACCTCATTTTATGCGTAGTGGGGATGCACCATTGGGTTTTATTTTATGAGAAATCTCATTTAGTTAGATTTTAGTTAGGAACTAAATTAACTTAAGCCATGGAAGCTTGTTTACAACATTAGGACATCTGACTATAATTTTTTTAAGAATGGTAGTTTTTATGCGTAATTACTTTACCGTGCACTCGAAATCATTTTGACAGTGTTATAAGCCACCATTTCTGATAGGTAGTGCATAATTTTGATCTTCCAAATACCGCCGAAGCTTCAGTCTGATTATATATGCAGATCTGAAGTGTTCGAGGGCTGCCTGATAGACGGTGTCAGTGTGTTCTCTCGTACGTGGCCAGACTCAAACTCAAATGTGTGAACCGGTCTTTAGAAATCCGGCATATTCGTTTTAAAGCGTTCTTGTTTTTGCAGAACCAGCCTCGTTTACAAAAGGTTGTTGGTGACGTAACGCTGCCCGGCACCGACCGGGAATTTTGACAAAGGCATAAACACTGTTGCCTGCATCGTAGTAGCGTTTGATGTAACCGCTAGACTGGATGGGCATTAGCATATTGTAGAGTGCACGACGCTGCCTTTTTGTTCGACGGATAGAGCAAGTAATGCCAAGGGCGCTCATTCTTTATCAGTGACCCCCTCCCGCCGAACAGTCTTCCAAGGTCTGTCTTTGCCCTCTTGTAAATGATCCATTATGCTTCGGCCTTTCCTTTGAGCTGCTCTTGGTTTTCCCACCGACAAAAACTTCACTGTTGTTTTTCTCTTGGGAACAATGACAGTGATCGCGATCTGAAGACCCGTAAAGCGGGACTGTACAGCAGTGAACTAAAAGTATTTGAGTTGCTGTAATTAGTCACAATTATAGTCACTAATTACTTCCCGACTTGCATGGAAATTTCAGTAGCAGTAACTTGTTTTCCATTTCTAGACCGACTTCGTCCAATTACTACAGTTGTTCTTTTACGTTTTGTCAAATATTGAAATTAACATTGATTTGCTCCATTGTGAGACGAATGCTGAATCGAGATGGAACTGATTGTGTATGGTTTCTGTATCAGCAATTGCAGCCCTATGCTTGCTGCATTGGAATGTTTTGAGTGATGGGAACATAATTTGGTTATCTTTTTTGTAACTCCTGCTCGACATATCTGTTGGAATCTTGCTGTTCTTCTTGTAACTCAATTACATTTTGACTTAAATTTCCGTTTTCACAGCTCTGGTAAGAGGGCAGTTCATCATTTCGCATGAAATCAGCAATTTGTACTTCTCTTCCTGCACAGTACAGCACCTATTTCATTACAAATATGACCACCCCTTGAGCACAGTGTTCACCTTTTTGATAGTTGTCCGACTTTTTCACGCAAAATTGAGGTGCACTAACGGTAACTGCAGGTCCGAAAAGTATGCACTATCAAAAATCGCTTCAGGGTTCATCTTAAGATTGTCCGTGTCACAGATTAAAGTGAGAAAATAGTAGAGTGTTGTGGGGAGAGGCCCAGAAAAAGATATACACCCTCTTTTTTTTTCAACTGTTTAATTTAATTTCCGCGCACCATGCAGTGTCTCAAAATAAATTGGTTGCCTGCTCTTTCTAAGTAGGTCGTAGTTGTATCGGCAGGAAATTTTGGAAATTTGGGTGTCCACGCGCTATTTGTGGGTCTTCTTAAACTGAGAGGGAAGAAAATGGTTTGACAGAAGACAACTTTAGACGAGGCAGGATGTGAACATACTCTATTTAAATTAACCACAGATATGTGGTGCTGTGGGATTGGGTCCTCTTTAGATTGCAGCAATTGAGACGAGGACTTTGCGTCAGCTGAAAAGTCAATCCTGGAAGCATATCATTTCACTCGAGTGATTCTTTTTAGGTCATACCTTGTTTAGTTGACATAATTGACTGCATTACGCAGGTAGAATTGTCAAACTGCCCATGGATACAGTTTTATTGCTTTCATTTTGTTGTTTCCATAGAATACCGTGGAAGCGCCCATTTAATTCAAGCGCCCATTATTAACGTGTTCCATACTTGGGAATTTCGCAAATTATACGTTTAGTGCCCGATTTGACCAGGCGAGACGTGTGACCATATCTAGAGTGATCCAGGTTTCAGTGAAACTGGAGTCGGTGCTCCCCTGGTATTTTATGGCAAGTCTTTAAAAGATAATGGTGGAGTAAATGAACACTGCGGCAATCCAGTTGTTCTGGTTTGTCAGGTTTGTTGTACTAAGTCTTATTTTTGTAAAATAAAAATAAAAATGTTTTTTTGGTGTCTGATGACATAGCTAAAGAAAAGTGACACAGCCCAAATGCACTGTCTGCAAATATATAAAAAAGAGCATATATATATATATATATATATATATATTTTAAGCAAGGAAACACTTTTTTTTTGTTTATAGGTTTGTAGAAACTACCAAGTGAAGTGTATGTGACCCCAGTGTGCACTTTAAATGTTTGATAAGCTACGAAATTTATTTCTTCAAATTTCTAGAGCAAGGGGCTACTGCATAATGTCCCAAATTACCATGTGTGAGACACCTGTAAAAAAAAGATTTCAGAAGGAAGCAAACAGTACAGGATTCTGGTAGTTTATTCCACACTCACGCCGGTGCTATCAGGGATGGGATCTAATTCACTGAGGTTTTTCAGTCCGTTTTCATTTGCTATCGGCATGACGAAATGGTGCTGGTGCAAGCGTGGGTTTCTCAATGTCCCCAGATGCTGGGAACTAGGACGGCGTGGTTGCTCCAGTGCTAGGGCGTACACTAAGTTTTCACAATCGATCCGACTTGTTTGCACTTTTTTTCTCGAGGCCTTTTGTTAATGGGCGTTAATCAAGGACAACAATTAGCAGGGGCGTTTCCCCACAAGCAATTATCTGGTCTCCGTTTTGCGGTCCAAACGGTGTGAAAGCGGGTGCTTGACTGTCGCACGACACGTAAGTGGATAGGAAAAGCAAAGTGTCAAATGGGTTGTTGTGATTACCCTGTCATCGTTATTTCACGGGTGCACCTACACGTAACATGGAGGTCTCTTTGACATAAATGGCTTTGTGATAGGCGGTCAGCCACTTGGTGCTGTTTTTTTTTAAGTGGGCCGAGAAAGCGCTTAGTGTTGAATTTTATTTGCGTTTTGCCACGGCTGTAGCGAGTGAAGTGCACTGCATTTGCAATTGAGTTTTCAGCGTGTGTTGGAAGTTTTAATCCAGGAATTTCCTAGTCCGAAATCATTGCATCGTTCTTCAAAGCATTTTGGTGAAAGTTGTTTTATAGCTTTTTCCTAACTTCTAATGATTCAATGTCTCTTTTTACATTGCTCGGTTATTGCTTTTCATTATTCCTTCCCACAATGTTTCACTATCCCATTCCACATTTTTTCCGTGTCCCTTTAAACACCGTTTCATTAGCTTTATCCACATTGTTTCACTGTCTCTTTCTATGCTGCTTCAGTGTCCCTTTACAGAATATATTTTTTTGCATTGTTTCATTGTCCCTTTCTGCATCTTTTCATTACTTCTTTCCACATTGTTTTATTATCCCGTTCTACACTGTTTATTATCCCTTTCCACATGGTTTCATTCTCTCGTTTCACTTTGTTTCACTCTCCCTTTTTACTATGTTTGATGTCCCTTTACTCACTCATTCATTATATTAATCCATGTTGCTTCAATGTCCCTTTCTGCATCACTTCCCATATTGTTTCATGGCCCCTTCTTAACTCGTTTCATGGTCCCCTTGACATTCTGTCTGCAGCGTGTGAGCCTGATCTCGATGCGGGATCTGGTCCCCGAGTTGAGCAGTGGGAGCAGTGAGGACGAGGCCAGCATGATGAAGCACCTGGAAGGCAGCCAGCAGCCGCAGCCCTGCGAGAACTACATGACCCATAACTGCGTCACCATCATCCCGGTCGAATACCCTCGCTCTGACAGCTCCTCGCTCTCCGGTGAGTGCCCTGTGCTTGTCTGGTGCAGCCGTCATCATTGCTGACATTGGTATGTGTCACAAGCAAAGGTTTGCACCTCTGTTGTACAAGAAGTTCCCGAGGCTTGAGTTGGTTAAAATTTAGTGCTGTTATATTTTTATGTTTTGTGTCATCTCGAGTCCAACGTGCACCATGTTAAGACATTTGCTTCGTGCGAGAGTTTTCATGTCACTTTTCGAATAGAGCAACTCTTCGAACAATCCATCGTCCTTTCTAGATTTTTTCTCAACCCCCATTATAAATTTTTGATTACGTAAATATAAAGTCACTTAATATTGTTTTACATGGTATGAGACCTCAAAATTATTTGCAAAAGGATGTGTTCGACGTTGAGCACTGATATATACTATTCTTTTATCCAGTTTCATTTGACTGTGTTTTGAGCTTGATACATGCACATTTTCCCTTAATGAAGGGCCAAATGGGTCACGTCCCTTACAACATGCAATTAGAAGGAACTTTAAAGCAAAAGAATAAAGAGACAAAACACAGTCTAGACTTCAAAAGGTGTAATCATGTGCATGCTGTTTCTGTTCTTCACTTTCGGAGTTTGCTTTGGCCATATTTCTATACTTCGTTTCAGCTTCGGTCCGAGCGCAGCCGATGTTATGAGCCTAAGGGCCAATCAAACAGCGAAAGAGCCACAATGTCATGGCGTGCTCCCTGCAGTTGATAGGACCAGCCGATATTCGCCGTTTCTCTGTGCGCGTTCCTCCGCCGGCTAGTCCTATCAAGCGCAGCGAGCACGCCATGACGCTGCGCTTTTTGCGCTCTTTGATTGGCTCTTCGGCTCATAACATCGGCCGCGCTCGGACCGAAGCTGAAACGAAGTATATCTATACTCGTTTCACATTGCGATGGACTGCAGTGGATGCCGTGAGCCATCTTGCACTAACGCAATGCTGCTCAGGCGTCACGTGACTTTGCACATCGCTGCACCCTTCTGTAAAGTCACATGTCTCTGGCATGGCCCTGGAGTGGTGCTGATCTGTCGTAAGGTGAAACAGGGTATAGAGGGGTTGCACAGAGTCACGACTTCGAGAGTCACGACTTTGAGAGTCACGACTTCGAGAGTCACGACTTCGAGAGTCACGACTTCGAGAGTCACGACTTCGAGAGTCACGGGTCCTAGAGTCACGGGTCCTAGAGTCACAAGTCCTAGAGTCACGGGTCCTAGGGTCACGAGTCCCAGAGCCACGGGTTCTACAGTCGCTGCTCCTAGAGTTGCCTCTTAGAGTTGCCTCTTAGAGTTGCGGCTTCTGCAGTCGCGGTTTCTGCAGTCGCTGCTTCTGCAGTCGCTGCTCCTTTAGTCGCTGCTCCTGGAGTCGCTGCTCCTGGAGTCGCTGCTCCTGGAGTCGCTGCTCCTGGAGTCGCTGCTCCTAGCGTCACTGCTCATGCAATTGCTACATTCTGGAGTCACTATTCTTGGAGTCGCTATTTTTGGAGTCACTACTCTTGGAGTCGCTACTCTTGTAGTCGCTACTCTTGGAGTCGCTACTCTTGGATTCGCTACTCTTGGAGTCGCTACTCTTGGAGTCGCTACTCTTGGAGTCGCTACTCTTGGAGTCGCTACTCCTAGAGTTGCTGCTCTTCAAGTTGCTACTCCTAAAGTCACGACTTCAAACGCGACTCACGTCGCATGCGAAACTGCCGCGTAGCCACGCCCCTGCGAGGTCTGGCGGACAAGCGGGACTACGCAGCCCTCGAGCGCCATTCGCCCTACGTGTTGGCGATGGCACCGCGGGGCCGGCAGCTGCCGACGCCGACGCACCACCCACACCACTGCTACCTGTCGCCGAGCGTGGTGCAGCACCACCAGCCGCCGCCGCCGCAGCAGCACTGTCAGGACGACGGGTGGCGCATCCCCAGGGAGAGGATCCCGGCGCCGCAGCACCCGCTGCCCACGCCACCTCCGGCCACAAGTAAATGCAGGCGCGTCTCGGAAGGAGCGGAGTTGCAGGCATCAATGTTTGATGACTGAATAGACCCTTTCCGAACTACAGTGCCTTCTGGTGGCTAAAATATTGGTTCACTTTTACACGTGCTAATGGCAGTGAAAGCATAGTATTTTGTCAAACACTGTCAATTTTGTGTGTCAGTGGCAGTCGAGAATCGGTCCTTCACTATAAGTTTCTTTCTCTATTTGCTTCAGTTTTGATGGTGGCAAAGAAGCTGCCACTCTGTGCAAAGTGCTGACTCAAAAAAGCCCTTGATGAAATTTGCCACGTGAGGAACTTCGGGGTCGAGCATCTGCCAACCGATTATATTAAATGAGAGACCGAAATGAATGTTATAGACCTTTTTTTTCCAAACTTTTGTGGTACAAATGCTGCATTATGTGGCATAAATACTTTGTTTTCACAACTTTTTGTGTCATAATTTTGTTCACTGAGGTTTTGATTAGCCAGTAAAAACTAACCCAAATTCTATGTACTAGCTTTTTGAGAAAGTTGGATCAGCATCAAGTGAGATAACCTGTGCTGACCCAAGTCATCCTTTGGCACTCGCTTTCAAGGTGTCTGGACAACTTGCTTACCATGCTTCCCTTGAAAATATGAAAGAAGGAAAACGAGAGAAAATTTTAAGTCCTGTTTTCCTAAATTATTGCTTGTTTTTGGTTTTTTCTTCAGACATCACTAACTTTGCACTGTACGTAGTAACTTGCATGTGCATTCTTTTATATGCTTGACAGTTTTTCTACACAATAATCATGCCAATTATACACATTTGCAAGTCCGCCTTCAGGGAGCCGTTGGCTGGGGTGCACTTGGATGCATCATAATTCGATTACGAAGTGTTGCTAAGGTGTCGTAATCAGATTATGACCGCAACGAAGCGCACCCCACTGAGCAAGATGGCGGCGCCCTGACATGGACTTGCAAACATGTTTATGAATGCACTGCTAATTCTGATTTTTCGTTTTGATAGTTTTTGCATTTCTTTACCTTTTTTTTTCTTCATAAGTGTTGTAAAATGTTTTAAACTTTTAGTATCCCTTATGCTGGTACATTGTACTTTTAAAGTATTAGTGCCTGTCTTCTCTTCACACGTTTTGTAACATTGTAGCATGGCTTGTATCTGCATGTGTTACCATTTAACGGATGTTTGAGACATTTATGACACCTTTTGAATTTGCCCCGTTGTGTGTTTGTTTCTTTAACAATTATCATTTAGTCACATATATTGTTGCATGTTCTCTGCTGTTGTGTCGCACATGACTGTGCACGCTCGTGCACATGGCTGTGCACCATATGTTGTCTGTCTTAATGTCATGCACATGAGCCTGAATGGGCACATGCTTATTATGCTGAATGCACATGCTTGGCTGTATATTTAATTGACTTGTTTGTTCAGCATGTTTGCCCGTTGTGTTACATTATGAAATGACTTTTCTTAAGCGAATAATAATTAAATTGCATGTTGATCATAGCTTTTATGTTTGTGGTCAAGAGAGCTTTTCGGAAATATTTATACAATTTTGGTATTGCATGTTTGCATTGGCATGTGGCATTTGTTTTACGACTTCTACTTGCCATTTATGGTTAACTTTTTATGTGCCTGGAGTTTAGTTATTTCTTTATGCACTGTTTCTATGAAGCATGGCAGCAATGTTTGCAATATTTTTGTCAGAAATAAAAGCTGTGAGATTGTATTGACATGCTTGATTTAATTACTCAGTAGTGCAGGATCTCCAACATCTAGAATAACAGCCTGCAAAGCTAGCTTTAGAGAGAAATTTTATACAGTGGTTGATATGGTGAGGAGGGTGCAGGTTTTTATTGTATTTGGTCATTCCACAATTTAATTTTGTCCACTGCGTAACTACCTACTTAGACTAGCTGATGCAAGAACAACATACATTTTTATTGTCTCATAACTTTAGCAAATCCTTTTACAGTGATAGCATAATGTAAAAATTTAATAATTGTCTGTACTGGTGAGGTGTATCACTATTTAATGGTGATACACCTGGCCCTCCCAAGGCTAAGTAGGATATTATATTACTGATGGTCCTGTAGGTACATTTTTAGCCTTGACATTTCATGCAGGCTTATTGACCTAATTTATGTCTGCCAACAAGTACTAATATGATTGTTTTAACCTAAATGAAAACAAGTGCCACAAATTCCACTATAAAAAATATTAATTTTTTGCTTTTTTGTGGGGAGTTTATTGCTCTTTTGTCATTCTAAACCCAAATACAGTGTCACCAGTCGTTAAAATACCTTCCCTAAGGTTGTTTTTGTTGTTTTAGGTTTCTTAAATAGTTCTTTATTTGTGCGAGCAAAAGCTAAGTGGCTTTCTATTCAACCTTTTTTCTGCACCCGGATGGCGAATATGAAAAACAGTTCGTAATCCTTGTTGTGGAAGATAAGGAGTCCCAGCTTCATGAGGGTCCCAGAGACTCTGAGTACCTTCCCAAAATTTAGGGTACCGCCTTCATGATTTGTTCAAATGTAAAGCAACCGACTGCTGTTGCCAGCAATATAGTTGCCTCAGGCATGGTTGTTTGCAGCATAGTTGCGTGCACGTTTGTGACTGGAAGCTCTGTCTGCGCGGTGCAGAGCAGGAGATCTGCGTGTACCTGCTCACCAAGGTGTGCCTCTGCGTGGAGGTGAACAGCCTCCCCATGGCCACTTCGGACGAGATCGTCGAGATCATCGCGCAGGACGACGCGGAGATGAACCTGCCCTCGCAGGCCACCGAGTTCTTCGCCCTCTGGATGACATCTCCTCTGCTCGGTGAGTTTATACGTTTGTCGACGATGCCTGCCAACAGCTACGCACCTTTCCGATGGAACATCGCAACACGGACAAAAATGCATACCGAGCATTCTAATACTGCACATATAAAATTCAGAAAAAAGTAAAAATGCACCTATCCAATGACATTTCCGAAATCAGTTTTTTTAAAGTTATTCAGTTACATAAAGATGTCAATTGCAGACGATGAGAAATCAATGATTCTTCCATACATACGAGAGGTGAGAGCTTGAAACGTTTACCAACATAGGACAGTCTCATCGACTAGCCGTAGTCACACTGCTTATATACATCATACAGAAAACACAATGATCGCTGCAGACATGATTACAGAATTGTCTGCGGATACTTTTTCGGGCATGTTTGAAGCATGCTTGCTTTACGCACATGCGGGGTTTGAACATGGCTGCAGACAGTTTTTGTATGAGCGATGCGACAGGAATGTCGTACGAAAAAGAAATGGGCCTAGAACGTTGTCTAGAGAATGTCCTTTGTATGATGGACTATTACGGTGGAATCTCGTTGATAGATTTTTCACGGGACTAGGAGGAAGAAACGTACAATCCGGGAAAACGTAAATAACGAGACTGCCCTTCCCGGGGGGGTGCTGGAGATGAGACAGAGAGCAACTGTCACGAAACAATTTGTTATACGCAAACATTTGTGGGTGCGAACTCAAATCGGCTCAGAAAACGTTTGTAAACATTTGAAAGTGAGAACTGAAATGAACGCAGTGAAAATGTCTGTAAGTGTTCCTAGGCGTGAACTCGGATACGTTCAGAAAATATTTTTTTTGAACATTCGTTGGAAAAGAAGCTTGCAATCTTTCCACCTGCCGGTTTGAGTGACTGATCCGCGGACGAGTGACGGAGTTCTGGGCTTGCGGAGGAGCATTTGCCAATGTCCTCGTACTCGTGCACATTACTGAAAGAGCAACTCCGCTCAATTTCGAAAATTTCGGGATAATGAGTGATTTCACTTTAAAAAGCCCTAATAAAAGGCACTACGTCATTTGCTTTGCAAGAAATAGGATATATATCGTTAAATCTTTTTTTTAAACATCAGCAGAAATCGAAACTGAAACTTCGGCTTCATCTGGCAATGTTAACGGGCCGCCAAAAATATGGATGTCACAGGGTACGAGACGTCACGTGATGCACTACACAGTGACAGGCAGGATTGGGGTGAGCGTGTGCCAGGTGAAAGTGTCCTCTGCACCTCACTCTTCACCACGTTTTGGTGTCTACGACATTCGACGATGTCTGCACAACTGCGGCATCAGTCTGCGCACAAAGTATGGATGCAACACCAAGAGACGATAATCACAAATAGTGAGATGACGACGGCGATTGTGACGTCATCCGTTTAAGGAACATTTGGACAGAACTAGGTCGTAATATTTGACGTGTGGCTTCCTAGGTGATACTGAAGAGGACTGCATTGTTTTTTCAAAAACAAAATTGAAGCGGAGTTGCTCTTTAAAGGGGAACACCGCCAATATTTTTATAGTCTTTGATTTGGCTAGAAATTAGCAGACCATATCCATAACCCTGTCTCAACTGCTGGCCAAAATATTCGATAAAATAAAATTTTTACGCCGGACGAGCAAGTTTCAGGAGGCAACACTCTACTGGCAACATAGAAAAATTCCTATTTTCCCCTACCCATGTACGTCAGCGGCGGGACGCTGGACGGGCAAACCGTGAAGCCGCGAATCAGCTTTCCGCGTCGCCAGCGATTGAGATTGTTTTTTTTTTCGAAGCTTCGAGGCCGAAAGTTCCTCCGCAATGGGTAACCTCTGCAAGTCCTGGACTCCGTTGCTTCTACGCCGAGCTAGTAGTGCTTTGAGTTAAGCCTATCACGGTGTCTTGTATTGCTCTTGGCCCTCAGGCGACAGTGTCACTGCGCTGTTGGCGTCTTGCAGCACTGTGCGGTCGCAGAGCGGTTCGGCTGATCCTTGCTGTGGTCCGCTCATCTTCTCCTCCGCGTCAACGTACTTGGGAGGTGGGCGATCCGCGGACGTGTCGTTACATGATCAATCCGTCCGTGGATCGGTCCGTCGTGTAAATCAGCTGGTGCCATCGGCGCTACGTCGGCAGCTTTGTGGACGTACAAACCGGGAAATCAAACGCGCTAAGCAGGAAATAATACATCTGTTCCTACAGGACGTAGGCAGAACCGGCGCTTTGGAACGTAGAAGCCGGGAAGACATAAAAACCGGCAACGTATCGGTGTGACCGCGGTGTTAGAGTTGGCGACGCTCGTGTGCTGCGATTCAAGTCCAAAGGGACCTTGAAATCAAAGGTGGTGGGTGGGAGCCAGAGGATCTTTCCTGCTTTAGTTCCCACGGTACTCTAGCAACAGTTTGGCATAGCTGCTGTAGTTGTACAGTCACCTGCAATATGAAAGACCCTTTTGCCTATTCAGTTCATGCATTGGTGTTAGGTGTTAAGTCCACACGTGCCAGACACATTAACTAAGTTTGAGGGAGGGGATAGAACAAAGGTTAATTAATTTTTTCGTACTAAGAAATGCTGTCATTATCAAAGTGAGTTCGGCAGATCCACCTTTAAATGCATTCTCTAATAGCTCTTTCATATTGCAGGGGGACTGTCCTTAGATTCGTGACACTGACGAGTGCAGAACGCATTCCTGTGTAATGCTGTTATCTCTATTATTGCTAAAGTACCTACCTACTACTACCACTCCTTTTCACTTGATGAAGGAGCTCTATGGATGCCACGAGCCATTCTGGTCAATTTGGCACCGAGAATGTATCATGCGACTACACTTGCCACACATTGCTGCACTCATACCAAAGGTTACATGACACCTGCAAGGCATTCGAATGCTGCACTCATCCCAAAGGATACATGACACCTGCAAGGCATTCGAATAGCTTTGATGGTTTGTGGCATCCTCTGCGGTCCATCTTAAGGTGAAACGAAGTTTACCAGTGCTAGAGGAGCAAGCACTTTCCGTGTGATGCGTTTCTTAAAACGTCCGCGTAACAGTGTTGGCCCTTGTCACGCAGAGCTGCAGCTGAAGCCTGACCATCGCCCCTACCTGATCCGGGAGCGGTGGTCGGAATACCTCAAGAAGTACACCTTCGCTTCAAAACGACAGCTCGAAACTGGTGCGTTTGCTGTCGACTTGCAAACTCTGTTAGGGCCGTACCATCCAGGGTTATCCCTTGAAGACTCTGCAGACACATTGTTAGGGTGCCTTGGAACATCCGTGGAATGTCTGTGGGATAACCTCAAACAGTGGCGTAGGATGAGGGGGTTGGAAATTTCTCAAAAAAGATTCCTGGCCTCAGATCTCCAAATGGGCATTTAGAAGTAGTCAGAATGGAAATTCTCTGTTTGTAATGGCCGTCAGATGTTGAAAAATGGGACCCCTTTAACGGATTCAATTTGGGTGTTGGTTAGCTTCCTGAACCCACGATTTTCCACCTAAATGTTAGTTTAATTTGCCTAACGATTGACGGTAATGCATTTCATAGAGGAGCAGTTGTGTTTATATTGCTGTACCTCTCTTCAGAAAACAAGTTTTTCCACTTATTGAACTTTCATGACGTTCGGTCTTAACAGGGGCCACTGCATCGCAAGAAAAGATTATCCTGTCAGAACGAGATATTGATTTGCTAAAGGCTCTTGTTCAGGAATGAAAAGCAGAAATCGTAGGTGCATGTGAACTGGGTGTTTTTTTTTTAATCAGAATTGAATTCAAAGTGCAGGCTGGTTTTGGTTCAATGATTGCTAATCAAACAGTTTGAAGAGCTGCATTTCTCACACTTTAATGGACGGAATAATACAGCGGTTTCGTGAGAACTACAGCTAAGGATATGCAAAAAATAACTGATTTGGGCTCATTACCATCATACAAAGCAGGTGCGAGAGCTTAGGCGATCAATTTAGCGTTTTAACAGTTTTCTGCATAGCCCCTGGGGCAAGCACTGCATACCTTACTGCACTAGGAGCAAATATTAGAAGGCGAATACCATAAAAAAAAAGTGTAAAAATAAAACCATGCCTTTCTATTTTGTGGTTTCAGATGAGCCAGTGCTGACTTTCCAAAGAAACGTTTTCCTCGACAAGGAGAAAGAAAAAGAGGTACTGGTGCTTTTTAATTTTACACCGAAGATACCTTTTCTATAAGAAGAAAGGAGTGTGTCGGTAAACCTTGTCTGAGAATGTTTGTTTGTTCTCGCAGGTGCAAAAAACACTAACAATAGAAACCTTTTATTTTTTGTCTTTTTTTTGCACTTTCTTTTTTTTTCGTTTGTTTCTCCTCCTTGCCTTCTTTGTCCTTTGTTTTCTGGGCCGTCTTTCTTTTCTCTTTTTTTTTTTCTGTATTTACCGCGTCCTCAAATATGGCTCCTCGATTTCCACCCCACGACATCATAAAAGTGAAATCTTGGCGGCGGCGCAGCAGCTGAGGCGAACGCGGCAGACGCATATTTCGCCACGGCTCGCTCTCGTCTCGACAGTCTGTAGAAGTTTTGGCAGCCATGAGTCGCGATGCCATGGCGACGGCGACACTACCGGAACTTCTACGGCCGACTGCCAGGATCTCGATGTGCCGGCTTTTGCAGCCTCGTTTATTGCCACTTCGGTACCACTTTCGACGCAAGGGCGGTATTGGAAGTGTGCGACGCGTGACAGTGGTGCCACGGTGTTGGCCCTAGCGGAAGCATTTCGTATTGAACACAGCCGGACGGGCGTAGAGAACCTGCGTAGCGGCCAACCTTTCTTTCTTGTTAACGTCGGCTTGCCCGAGCACGGCGCCATATGAAACGTACAAGGCCACGCTCGGCGCCAACTTTTTTTTTTACGCGAGAACTGGAAATTGCGTGTGCCAGCGAAAATTGCCGCGATCGTCTCGATTCCAACACATCTTCTTGATCCGCCGGCGAGCGAAGAGCAATTTTATAATAAGATGAGCGAAAAATATTTATTGTGCGGTATTTACCGGTTACTGCTACTGGTGAATGTCATATTGTAATGATTTCGGAACCGTGAAACACACGAACGCTTCGTAGAGGCATTTCGCGGCGCGGATAAACAAAAAACGTGGCAGTACGCTGGAGCCATTGCCGCTCGCAAGCGTGGGACACGATCGAACCCGAGCTCCGAACAACTCCTGCAGGTCGAACGGCGGAAAACACGTCTGGAACAACACTAGATGAGGGTAGGTTTAGAATGTCAACTTGCGAAACCTTTATTTTGGAACGAGGTCGAGAATCACGGGCGCAGGAAGGCGCAGACAGGGCGAAGACGCCGCGGGCGCATTAGAATAGGTCAGAGCGGGCAGCGCTTCACAATGCGGCGTAACGTGGAAGCTGTCACTGGTAGCGCCGCCAATCATCCAACAAGGTGGAGCGGTGCGCATCTCATGGGCGAGGAGATCAAACAATAGAAGGCGCTCCGTGCAGCTTGTTTTCGACAGAGTTTGGCGTTTAGTCAACGCGAGGCCGCTCGGCTGGGTTCCTCATGTCCTCGTGCTCGACTGAGGAGGGAGAACGTATTATACACGAGTGCTGCCCTCCGCGTTTGGCTGGGACAAGTTCAATCCGTGCTTCAACGATTGAACACGAGCCTCGGCCGAACGCTGATGCCACGTTCGGATACATCATCCGAGCGCCGCGTGAGAGACTCCATTATCGTGGCGCCACGGTTGAATCTCCTCTCCAATAGGACGCTAAACACTCCAGTCGAAGTTGTGCTGCAAGCACCATAGCCCGCCGAATTGGCAGTGCTTGACCTGCTCTCGCACCCTTCTCTCAGATGCAGGAGATGAAGGTGGTACGCATGCTGTATGCCGAGGCCCGGGGCAACGTGCTGGACGGGCGGTACCCCTGCGAGACGGAGGACTGCATTGTGCTCGGGGCCATCCAGGCGAGGCTGGAGCTGGGTCCCTACGACCCGGCCAAGCACACCCTCGAATTCTTCAGGCAGGTTCAGACGAGCCGTCCTTCTTTAATCGCTCTCCGTATTAGTCACGCAAGGGCTGCAAAAGGGCGTCGCGCGACTCGTTTGGAAGAATTTGCGCCAAACTAACGAGGTATCGCGTTACGCTTTTGCGCTGCACTTTTTGGGGGACTTTTTTTTTATTATTAAATTCTAGTTCTACACGCATTTCGTGTGAGAAGTTATCGACGACAGGACGACGCGTGCAGTTCCAGCTTTGACCTGACGATTGAGCCTAGCTTCTCTAATGCATAGGTTACTGGGATCCAATACCCTCACTTTGCAGTCGTCGTGTGGATGACGGGTAGGACGAGGCACAGAACCGTGCAGCTGAAACGCGGAGCCGACAGCCGCATTTCACCTTTCCGAACAGGAGAGTTTAGGCACTTGCAGGAATGATGTGATTCTCCCTTTGAGTCGACGATTGATCCAAACATCTCGAATGCGTAGACGAGTGGCGTAGAATGGTCGTCACGTGGGTGACGGGTGCAATGACCGTTTCAGGACAAGGATCCGTGATTTCCTGCCAGAGCACGCCTGCCGGTCCCACTGGTTCCTGCTGGGGCTGGGCGCCAAGAACGGACCGGAGCGCCGACTGGCCGAGCATTACCGGGCCACCCCCAGCAGCATCAAAGACTTGAAGCTCATGCGCAAGTACCTCGAGTTCTGCTGGGCCTTTCCCTACTACGGGTAAGCTGCCCTTCAAGGAACCTAGTTTGCTAGAGTCGCCGCAGAACTTTGACAGCCAGGTCTTTTTCACCGGTGTGCACCCCATGCCTGTTGTTTTCTTGCACACAAATGCAAATTTCAGTCTCAGTAATGTGGCAGCACGCATTATTAGATATTACATATATTCGCTTATCCTATACAAATTTATCTATGGTTATACTTAATGTCTGCATGTTTCCAACCTTGGGCCTTTTTTTCGTACTAGCTGTACTTTTAGAAACGTGGTGCACTGTACTAAGCAAAATGATACCTCGACCTTGCTGTTGGAGGGCACTCATTTTGGGCAGCCTTGCTCGGCATTTGCCTTGTTTGTAGGGGTGTGCAAATACTCAAATATATAAATTCGAATCGAATAGCAAGCTCCCGAATAATTCGATTCATGAATCGAATTCCTAGTATTTGGTTACTCTAATATTCAATATATTCGGCCAAAGGTGCGCGATCGGCACGGAGCTGACAAAAGAACCGTTTTTTCTCCTGATTTTAGTGCCGTGATGTTAAGACAGACCATGCAAGAAACACCTATTGGTCCTACCATTCCACAAAAATCTAACGCGCAGGTTGAAAAAAAAATAAAGTAATGAACGCCACAAACTTCATAGCATGCAGATTTACTCATGATCGTTACATAATCTAACCCTGAATCACAACCGAAACATCCCGTTGCGCCGCTTCCAGAGAGGAATTGTTGAGAGGCCGGAATTCCGCGCCATGCTGAATTCTTTTCACGAGTAAAGCCCCTCGTTTCAAATTGAAGCACCGGTGTAAAACACACTTGCCACACTCACAGAATTTGGCGACTGCAAGATCATAAAAAGAAAACCACGTTAACCATACCGATGAAACTATCCGAGTTGTCGTCGTCCTTCTTTCAGAGCCACATGCCGCGAATTCTGATTCGGAACGAAACGGAATGGAAAAATTGTGTGCCTAGATTTGAGAGGGTTTCCAACGGTTCGATAGCCGTGTTTGAATTTCGAACTCAGTTCAGTTCAAAGAGCGTTTATTGATGCCATAAGCAGGGAAAGGGGTGTAATTATGAACTGCGAGAAGGTGACGAAAAGTCGAAAGCGTCGATCGGGCAGGCGTCGTCGCTCTTCCTTTGCTCGCCTTTTCACGCGACAACACAACATGTGCACACTTACGACCAATGTGCGCAGGAGCCGTCTCTGTGGTTCCAGTGTCGCTTGCTCCCTCTTTTAAATCCTAGGCTCTCTAAAACAGGCTATATAGACGGAGGAGTGAAGGCCCGTTCACACTCTTGCGACCTCTTAAACCTGGGTTCCTTAAAACTTGTTAAACCAGAAAACACACTGGCGCCATCTATTGGGAAGCAGTGTAAACTCGGCGGTCCGGCATATTTTTTTTTTATTTCTCGAGCATTATCCTTTCTTTCTTGGCTCGAAAAACTTTTGACAATGTTATAAACGAGCCTTTCTATGGGTATTACGCACATTTGACCTCGAAAATCCCGCAAAAACTTCGCTCTTGTGAAATGCAGTTCCAGAGTCACCGCATAGATGGCGCCACAATGTCAGTGCGTTCCCTCATTCTAGAAACATTTAAGAAGTTGTAAGAGATCTCGTCTCTCTCAGTCGTACTCGGTCGCAAGAGTGTGAACGGGCCTTGACTGCATAGCAGTGGTTGGACGGTGACTTGTGCCACCTAACCGCATGTTTTTATTTTACTTCAGATTATATCATTTAGGCTTGTTACTCAGATTTAACAGCTATCTGTTTGTTATATAAAATAAAATCCCAGGTGCCCTTTTTCTCCCTTAAAAGTGAGACCAAATATCGCGAAATGCCCCTTGTCTGAGATATACAATATAAAAATAGAAGGAAGGGAGGGGGAAAGCTGCCTAAAGAAATACTATTGCATTTAATATAATATGTAGCATCTTCGTACGACGCAAAGAACCCTGTCAAGTCCTTCTGATACCTGTGCGATGCAGTGTTTTTTTTAACCGATTACCGACGGGTCGTCTCGCTTGGGTGCCCCGCAGGAGCGCCTTCTTCCAGGGGCAAGTGGAGCGTCCGGTTACGGGGATTGCGGCCCTCATGAACCACTACGACCTGCCGGTCCTCGTGGCCATCAACCGGGAAGGGGTGCACGTCATCGATCCCAGCCAGCCCGTGAGTCGACCGTGACCACGGGTCGAGGGAATTGTGAAGCGGTCGTCTTCGTCTCGATTCTCTAATGCTCGGTATAAATGGTCCACATTAATGAGGCATAGAACGGGTGCAAGTTTCTGTCGACAAGCGCAGATTTACGCAAACGTTTCCGGGTTCCTTACAGCTAGCCTCCGTTTCATGGTCCCCTTAATGGTCCCGATGAACATATTTTTTTAAGTGCCTCGATGGCACACGTACGTCGCAAAACAAATTCAACTCAGGAAAACGATTTCAACATAACTTTTATGTTGCAAAAACATTTTAAGTTAGGAGTGATTGCCAAATAGAAGCATGTTATTTTAATCGCTCAGTTGAGTCTTACAATGCAAATATTGTAGTACTAAAAATATTCTTTTGTGATAAAGTTTTATTTTACTTACGCGTTGTAGCTAAGCGCTTAAAAAAGCTTTTTTGGGAAGTGAGGCGTCGCTTCGAGTGCAAACTTCCGTACCGATTGCCGGCCACATCCCTTGCTTGGCAGGTGGTGCTGATGAGCCTGCAGTACCGGCAGATGTCGTGGGACTACGCCTGCCCAGCCCAGCCCCAGAACCCGGACTGCCTGCCCTGCCTCTTCCTCCAGTTCCAGCAGCCGGGACAGGCCGACACCAGCGTGGTGCAGATCTTCTCCAAGCAGGTACCGCCACTGCGCTTGTGTCACGTCTTGTCGAGAGTATACTTCATGCAACAGGTTTGGACGCGAGGCTCCGACGATAGGGCACTGCGCGGGTGCAACGGTGGTGTACCTGGCACTCTTGCAACAATGTCCCTCTGTTTTTCTCCTCTACCACTCTGCCACTCTCTCTTTTTTTTGCAGTTCTGTTCCTTCGTTTCAGTTTCTGTCTTCCCTTTGTTCTTTCGTTTTCACAGAGAACGAGCTTAACCATGTTGAATTAACCTGAGACTGGCGTAGAGAAGAAACATCAAAAACGTAGAAGGGACCGAAAATAGACAGGACGACGTCTCAAACTCAGCTAACTCATTTATTTAGTCCACCTCCTTATATAGTCTCAATTTCAAGGTCATCTCCACCAACACAAAAGGACAAAGTCCTTTTGTGTTGGTGGAGATGATTTTTGCCCGCTAAGTCTAGCAGAAAAATTTCCCCGCTAGATTTAGCAAAAAAATTTCCCCGCTAAATGTAGCGGAAAATTTCCCCGCTAAATCTAGCGAAAAAATTTCCCCGCTAAACCTAGCGGAAAAATTTCTCTGAGGGGTCATGTGACCCCCACGTGACCTCGGGGAGGGGGGTCACGTTACTTTGAGGGTTCACGTGACCTCAAGGGGGGAGTCACGTGACCCCCTCCCCCCCCCCCCCCCGAGAACATGTGACCCTCAGTACCCTTCCCTCCTCCTCCCCAAGAGCTGCGCTCTAATTCGGCATTACAGCAGTCTTGGGTAGTAACGCGTTACTAGTAACGCGTTACAGTAACTTCGTTACTTTTTTGGTAACTTGTAACTGTAACGAGTTACTTTTTAAAAATGTAACTTGTAACGGTAGTTCTATTACTTTTTTTAAGGTAACGTTGAAAGTAACAGCGTTACTTTCGTCGTTACTTTCCAGTTTCTTTATGAATAATATATCACTGAATGAGTACAATTTACCCATTCTTTGCGCTTCCCAAATTGTCTGTTCCGACATTTCGAGTGTCACGTTATTTTTCGCACAAACTTTTGAATACATTCTTTGCCGGCATTCACGACCTGAATACAGCTACGGGTAGATTTGGTTAAAAAAAGAGCAGTTATCTTTAGCACGCGCTTGTACTTTGTGACTAAACACTTGCATCTTAGTATCATGAAGAACTATCTCTTTTGCGGTTTTCCTTTTTTTCTGCAAAGACGCCTTTTATTCTTGTGAATCAAGCATGAAACAGAAATACACGCGGAGGGCACTGCGAATGTTTTGTATCTTGATTAGCGCCACCACTCCGCACTGCGCATATTTCGTATTTTGATTTGCGCCACTACTCCGGTGTATAGTGTCAGCAGTCGAGGCAAAATTTACTGCTCTTTGCGCGGGGGTTGTTTCTGGCTTGCCGGGTACGAACTTAAATATGCCCAGGGACTCTATGAACCCGGCGCAATTGTCAACGAGCCAGCAATATGCCAGTGCTACCAAGGATATGAATGTTGATAAGAACAAAGAAGAACTACCATGGCCGGCGTAGAGAGTATTTTGCTGTGGTGGAGGTGGTTACTAACAACTTGACCGCAGAAAACGGCACTCTGTTGCCTCAACGCCTACCCGACAATCAAAAACCTGTTTCGGCGAAACAACACTGCAATCCCATCCAGCGTGTCAGACGAGCGCCTGTTCAGCAAGGGCAGGGACGTGTTCATTATCAAACGAGGGAAACTTTCAGACACTAATTTTGAGAAGCAACTGCTGCTAAGTTACAATATAAAGTAAAGAGCACACTTTTTTATGCAAAGAAACTTGGTGAAAAGCGTTTTCTAGATTTTTCTAATTTTAAGGTCATAGAAAAGTAACTGAAAAGTAACGTCGTTACTTTTTAGAAGTAACTGTAATTGTAACGAGTTACATTTTTGTTTCGGTAACTGTAACGGTAACTTCGCTACTTTTTTCTGAAAGTAACTGTAACTGTAACGAATTACTTTTTAAAAGTAACTTACCCAAGACTGCATTACAGGGAGTTGTAAACAGCTTTCATCTTTTTTTTTTTTTGTAATCTAGCTCCGAATTTTGTTAACCTGGAAATTCTAGCTTAAATTTAGGTACTTTTTAAAATTTTAACCCCATACTTAGCTACTCCCCCCTCCCCGTCTCCAATTCCCACTCCCCATGGTCACTGAGCATGGGGACCAGGGGTTGGGGCGCCACTGTTTAAGGCTGCCAGGGAAGACAAATTCTAAGTCCGCCTCTGGATCTTATTTTTTTATTTTTTATTCATTCTGCCAGCCGTGAGGCCAAGGCAGGAGTGGTACATATTTTCAAAAACATACCAAGGACACACAAAGAATTCAATAATTCAGTCACATCACTTGGTGACATGGGAAGAAAGAAACATTTCAATTTCCCTCACAAAAGTTGACACACTTTGAGAGTTGACTATACATTCAGGCAGCTTATTCCAGAGATCAATACATTGAACAAAAAAGGAGTGCTTAAAATGATCCGTAGAGTATTGATAGGATTGGATATTTAAGCTATGTTTTATTCTGTGGTACACCGGAGGAGACATCACGACGTATTTTCGGGTATCCAACATCGAATGACCATGAAATATCTGAAAAAAAAGTTTCATTCTATTCGTTTCTAATCTGGTCTTTATGCTAGGCAGGCCTGCTTGCTCCTTGAGTTTTGTGACCGACTCAGTCAACCGGTAGCAATTAAAGATAAATCTAGCAGCCTTATTTTGAATTCTTTCCAATTTATAAATATTTTGATTTGTGAATGGCTCCCAAACCGGACTAGCGTATTCCAGAGTTGGCAAAATTAGACACTTAAAGGCGATTAATTTGACATCGGAACTAGCGAACTCCAACTTTGTTTTAAGCATCCATAGTTTTTGAAAGGCTTTCTTACATACATAGTCAATATGGGAGTTCCAGCTTAAGTCACTTCTTAAGTGCACTCCAAGGTATTTATATTCGTTAACTTTAACAAGCGGAAGACCATTAATACTGTAGTTAAATTGTAAGTGTTGTTTTTTGCGCGTTACATTCATGTAGACCGTCTTACTTATATTCAGTTCCATCTGCCAGTCAGCACACCATTTCATTATCTTACGCAAGTGCTTGTCCAAATTTAGTTGGTCTTCATTGGAACTGATATTGGAGTAAATCACAGTGTCATCCGCAAAGTGCTTTAAAGTTACCGCGGAGTCAAAGTCCTTTCCCATGTCGCTGATAAATAATATAAAAAGAAGCGGTCCAAGCACCGATCCCTGCGGAACGCCGGATATTACTTGTAATGATTCTGTTCTCTCCTTTTTAAAATACACATACTGTTCCCGTCCTGATAAATATGAGTTCAACCAATCGACTATCTGATCATTCTTAAAGGGACACTGACAGGGTATTTATGCTCGCCGAGGTTTTTAGTTGTACGTGACATATGAGAGCTCAACTACCCAGAACAGAATTTGCGGCTCGAAATTCGGTTTCTTTCCGCCCGAAAACCGCCGATCAAGAACTGGCCGGTTCGAGTCTCGCTTACTCTCTTTTCCGCGGTCACGGGCCGTTTTCTAAGGTATCGATGCGACCACCAAATTTAATCAAAGTCGTGGGTCACTGAAGGGACAGACTCAATATTAAAAATAGAAAAAAATATGAAACCCATTTTTTGTGGCTTCTAAAAACCTGCAAATACGTTGATTGAAAAAAAAATTCCACAGACAACCGGAAGCATTCTGTGCGTGCGTCGTTTCGCGTATCGTGGGACTCGCGGGGACGGCGATGGCAGCGGACGACGGGCGTGGGACCTCTATTTCAGAACTGTCGTTCCCGGTACCGGCGAATTTTGTCCACCTTTAAAAGAGAAATTTGGGACTGTTCAAAAGAATTGGTATTCGTGCCGTACGACACGCCCGACCACCAAGCCGATTTGCACGAAGACGTCGCCGAGCCGTCGCTCCCTTCTCGTGGCTGAAGACAACGCTCGCGCAAACGTCAAGCGCGACGTGTCTACTTCGAGTTGAATATGCACGCGTACGATTTCTTTACTAGGTGAGAATGTCGCCAATGCGTGGTGCATCCCGACTTCGACCCTGGAGTGCTTTTGCTAGAGAAAAATCGGCAGCAAACTTTCCAACTTACAGTTTATCGGCTGAATTGTTACTAAGGAAAGAGATCCCCCAGTCTGGACATGCCCCAGTAGCTCAGTGGGTAAGACGTCCGCTTCACACGCGGTAGGACCGGGTTCGATCCCCCGTGAAACGTTTTTTTATAATATTTTCTGATGTTTACATTTCTTTTTTTTTTACAATTATTACTGAAGAAACAAAAAAAAAAAAAAAAATCAGAAACAAATGTTGTGGACGACACGTCGCTGAATTAAATGGTATGGGATTTCCTTTTTGACACCTGCGAACTCAATGTAATCACTTTCCACAAAATGCAAGGAGCATATAAATCAGGTAGCGTCCGCTTTCCGAGGTGCCCGTAAATGGTCTACAGGAAATGCAGCCAGCCATTGGTCCCGATCCCGTTGATCTTTCGGAAACTCTGTCGCACAATGCCACTTCTGTTTCGGACGCAGGACATGTGAGCCAGCTCTTCACGCAACATCTTGGGTGTATTCTTTTCGGAGCCGATAAAAATTCACCACGGGCACTCACTACTCATCTCCAACTCCTCAATGTACAAAACAACTCATCTTGGAGTACAGAACAACGAGCGGAACATACATAACTGCAAAAGAATCCCACGGTGAACAGTTCCCGTACGCCGCATGTCGTCTGCTACAAGAAGGAGAGAGACAAAAAACAAAAAAAAAAAAAACACGGTCGGGTGTAGCCACGTGACTTCCGCCACTCCACTCTCTTCTCTCCACTTCTCCAACCTCCGTCGGGTTTCGGTTTCGGTTTCGAGCAGTTGCGTCTTTTGGCTTTATTAAAAAAATACGCTACTCTGTTGCAAAATATTAATTGGGTAGTCCTCTGACACCATAATGAAGCGCCTGGCAAAAAATGAAAAAAAATTTTTGGGGGGTGTCAGTGTCCCTTTAAGAACGTGACTAAGCTTGTACAACAATTTCGGGTGCGATACGCGGTCAAAAGCTTTAGCGAAATCTAAAAATATAATATCTGTCTGCCCCCCTTTATCTGCGGTTATGCTCAAATCATGAAAAATTTCGATTAGCTGCGTAGTTGTAGAACACCCCCGTCTGAATCCATACTGATTAGAGCCCAGAAGTTTGTTACTCTCAATAAAAGTGATCAAATGTTTCGATAAGATATGTTCTAAAGTTTTACAGCACGTGCTCGTTAGGGAAATCGGTCGATAATTACTCGAGATAGTTTTATCACCCTTCTTATGGACCGGAATTATCTTGCCACATTTCCAATCTCGGGGAATTGTTCCTTTGTCCAGTGTTAGGTTAAAAATTATTACCAGGTAATGGGAGCACCATTCTGCATATCTTTTTAGGAATATATTAGGTATTTTGTCAGGCCCGGATGATTTTTTTGCATCAAGGTTTAATAACAAATTGAACAGACCTTGCTGGTTCACTGTCACGTCAGTTATAGCAGGAATGCCACAAGGCACGTAGAAATTGGGAAGGATGCCATCGTCTCTTGTGAAAACTGACTGAAAGTAATGGTTGAATGATGAAGCAACTTGCCACTTGTCTGTTATAATAGAACCGTTCTCGACAATACCTGGAACAGTTTCCTTAACCGGAGATAAATGTCGCCAAAACTTTTCTGGAGAATTTTTTAGAAAGTTTGTGAGTGAATTTTCCATATAAAAACATTTAGCATTGCGAACCTCCGATTTAAAAGTATCCGAAAGGCCCTGTACTTCCTCTCGCTTTTGAAGTGTCTCGCATTTTTTTAGATTCCGCCTTTTTCTTTTTAGCCTACGCTTCATGCGAATAATATTTTTTGTTATCCACGGGTTTTGCTTGGAGATTTTTTTGACTCGGAGGGGAATAAAATTGTTGATGGCAGTGTGAACCATAGTTTTAAATCTTGCCCAGATCTCGTCTACAGATGTCGCGTTTAATGCGGAGAATTGCCTAAAGCTATCATAATGTAGATTAAAAAAGTCACATATACTTTCATCATCTGCCTTAGAGAAATCCGGAAAGGAAACAGTTTCAGGCGGTACTTTTTGACGCTTTCCTAAGGGACACGTCACGAGGACCATGTCGTGGTCGGAGATACCGTCCAAAACTTCGCACGAGTATCGCGACTGCGACAATCGTTTACTTAAAAAGACCAAGTCAAGCAAAGAACTAACAGAACCTTGCGTTCTAGTACTTTGTTGAACAATTTGTGTCAAATCATGAGAAAATACTAAATTGATCAAAGCTTGCGACGTGGAAACTTCCCCATGTGTTGCACACATGTTCAACCAATCAATGTTGGGCAGATTAAAATCCCCAGCCAGAACAATTCTGCTATTTTTACTTCGGACATGTTCACATAGATAATCATTTATACTCGTAAAATAGGTTTCGTTCGTCAGAGGAGGACGGTAAACAGCTCCGATCGTGATTGGACACTTATTTATTACGATCTTGCAAAACAATGATTCAATACCATCTAAATTAGGCATCACCTCACTCTCTAGCTCCTCCTTGATAACAACTGCGACACCACCTCCACGAGACTCCCGATCTTTACGAAAGCAAACATAATTCGGTGGTACAAAATCCGTATCTTCAACTTGAGTGCTCAACCACGTTTCTGTTATTATAACCGCGTCAGGTTCATGTTCCAAAAGTATGGCTTCCAACTCTGCTCTCTTGTTTAATACGCTTCGTGCGTTTAGATTGATTACGGTGAGTAAATCAGGAACACGACTGATTTTCAGGGCCCTCTCTGTGACTCAGTTCCCCTTCAAGAATATCGCCACTCCCATATGGACGGCGAGAACCGGATGTCAAATCCCAGTAAAACAAGCTACCGTTTACGGCTATCTTGTCATAAACTAACCGGACTTTAGCGCCTCGGTTTCTTTCATCTCTTGCGGAGTCCCAAAGGCATTTTCTTAAACTTTGAACTTGCCTAGAAAAATCCTCACTTACAGAAATATTTGTGCCCTTAAGCCTATTACAGTTGCGTAAAATTTCCATTTTTTCTCGGTAGTTGTAAAAACGTACTATTGTAGGCCGTGGGCTTCGCCGCTTTTTACCAAGACGGTGGATGCGTTCGATACTTTCGGGATTTACGTTAACTCTTTGAAAAACATTAGCCTGGACGGTCTGCGTTAGTTCCAAAGCCGTTTCGTTTTCTGCTTCGTTTAATCCAAATATGATGAGGTTGTTGCGTCTGGAGCGGTTTTCGAGGTCATCTACCTTACGCACTAGTAGTTGGACAGTTTTTGTCAGGTCTCGGACCGCTGCTTCCAGTTCAGTTGCCTTGTGAATTGCCGATTCCAACCTTATCATTCTAACATCTAGGCTTTTAAAATTTTCGGTATTTTCATTCACTGATTTCTGTAGAGATCGCTGATCTCGTTTTATATCGTTTAACGTTCTCGTCTGATCCTTTTGGCCATCAAGTATCATCGACACCTTTTCCTCCAGCGTGTAGGTTGGCCCAGGATTGAGCTCAACATCACCGCATAGAAGAAGAAGTTGCCTTATCACGTCTAGACACTCTGCTACCACAGAAAGCACTTTGTTGGGTCACGGCACGACAACTAGGCACAAGCAGTTGCTCCGCATGCTACTGGTCCTATTGCTTACCTGTAAACAGGCGAAGACGAGCGGGTTAGACATGCTGCCGCAAAGCGTACCGTGCCCACCACTAGCACAGTGAAGGTTTGTTTATTAGTGTTTTACTATATTGGCTTTACTGTAGATCACCCACACCACTGCTGCTAACATTCTGGACTTCGGCCTACAGCAATGGCAGGTGTTACCAATTTTGTGGCTTCAGTTTTAGATGTAAGCACAACTCAATGTACAAAGCATTTCTGAGCGATGTTCATGCATAAAAGAAGAATTGTAGAAATAAACTATTGAATGCAATGCAATTAAACTATTCTCAAAGGTGCATTTAGATGCACAGTGCGTTAATCATACTCAAATTTCACGGGTGTGGGCTTCAGGAAATCAATTTCAGCTTAAAAAGTTTTTTTTTTTTTTTTTCTCTTGCATAGGGAGGAAAACGGTAAAAACCACTTGGTTGTAGCTGCTACTCAGATAGTAGCACACATGATCGAATCTGCTTTCGGGTGTTTATCTCAAAGACGCTTTTACGTAGAAGGGTATGCACTGGGGCTAGTTGGTGATCCATGTTTGTGAGGGTAAAAGCGCTAAAAACAGCGGACGAGTAAAAGAAACGAACAACACAGAGCGCTTTTACGTTTTTACTTTATGTTGTGCCATCTACAAGTGGCAGCGACACTTGGACAGTCTTTACCGTTTTCCTCACTGCGCTGAAGGAAAAAGCAATATTTTTTCAAACTTTTTTCTAGTAAAAGTTACACTCTTGAAATCTGAGCATGATAAATGCAGCACCTAAAGACACCTTTGTGAAAAGTTTGCACTCAGTTGTTTGGTTTATTTATAAAAAAAAACAATTTGTATGTGTGAATGGCGCCCGGAAACACCCCGTAGTTATCCCTGTCAACAGACGACATCTAGGCAGACCTGATGCACCCCTTGCTCCCGCAGGCAGTGCTGATGGATGCCCTCATCTCCACGATTGTGGACGAACTCAAGCGGCGGCCATCGTGGAACAAGCCAGACGTGGACCCAACCACGCTGACCACTCGACCCGAAGACGGTAAGTCTTTGTTGCCGCCCATTTGACCTTGTCAGCTGAAGAAATTGCTAGGTCGTTAAATATTCCGGGTGCCTGGAATGTGTTTCTCACTGATGTGTTAAGGTGTCCTTTACCGCCCATGCAACTAGCCACCGCGGTGACTCCCAGGCAAAGCGGCCAGCCTGCAAATCCCGAGGGGGCGGGTTCAAATCCCCAGGTGTGGTGGATTCGAATCCCCAGGTGGCAGGTTTGAATCCCTACCGAGGTGCCCGAAATCTGACATGGGTTTGTTGTGGAGGAGGCGCCGTGTAACCAAAATTTTGGTGGCATGTCAAAAGATCCCCAGGTGGTTGGCACGTAAAACACCAGAAATTGACTTTTGCCCGCGTGCAACTGGAGCAGAGTAAACAGTTCTGGAAGCTGACCACAGATTAGGTTATCCAATATATAGTGAGCTTTTTACATCTTTGTTTTCAGATGTGCAAGTCCCCCTAACGGTGAAAAAGATCAGGCAGGAGCAAGGACTGTCATGCAGGCTTCGAAAGCTTTCCATCGCCAAATTCAGCAGCGCCGGTGAGTATGAATGCTTGCATGTTGGTTGTCGCGTGGTCACTCATATATAAGCTTACTACGATGAACTTGGCCCTAAAGAGCAAGCTGATTCAGCTCAAAATGTTTTAATTTATCCAACTATAGTGGGTAAGCCTAATCTAGAGCTTGTAAGCATACATTTTACACCATTGAATTTATTCTTGTCTGCAAGAATGACTAAAATGGCTGCCAGAGTAGTGCGATAACGTCACGTGCGAGCCACGTAGAGCGTCGCTCAAGTATAGCCTCGGCACGTCACGCAGAATGCTCGGTTCATTACCATGGTTCGACTCTGGTTCCGATATGTATAATAGACATAGAATGGTGACTAAACTTAGGTTATGTGGCGATAATGTTTAAGATGTTTCACGAGATATTTTCTTGCCATTGCAGGCGACTACCTCAACTCAAGAGGATCCCTGGAGTTCAAGCGGGACAGCCGTCCAAGATAATCCGAAGCGGCTCAAGATGGCCACCGTGTCATTCCCCTGTACATATATACATATATATATCCTACACGTGTCTGTGTCCCCTCCCCCCTCTCTATTAAAATGAGGCCGTTCTCAAGAAGCGCAGTGAAAAAGAAAAGGGACTACTCGCCCAAAAGACTGAAAAAGAGGTGTACTCTGGGGGCATAAGGCAGGTTTACTCCATTTCAAGCTTACATCACTGTGTACCAAACTCTACTACAGGTGTGCTGAAGGTGCATTATACTCCAAGTCCACGGGGATCAAGACCCACTTTGGCTCCAAAGGCGAAAGAAATACGCGGCACGTCGCTATTCCCCCAAGAGCGTACATGCACAAGTTTAAATAGTCTTGCAACTCTGTACTGGCCGTTGTTTTTATTGCCGGTATTCATTTACAAGGACGCAGAGCTTGTACTAATAGCAGAATTCCAGATATGTAAGTATATGTTTAGTTGTTGTTTTTATCTTGTTTATGGGCACGAGATATATACAATATAGTTTCCCCCTTTTTTTTTTTGAAGCTGGTAAAATTAAAACTACTGTGTTGATTAATTCAGAACCCTCCTATGTGCAGTGTTTGCAGGACGCTTTCATTCGTTTGGGTTTGCAATGTTATCAAAATGATACGCCAAAAATTTGAGCCGTAAGGAAATGTGCGCACCCTGACCTCTATTTTCGTGGACTGGATATTCTGCTTACCAGGCCACTGTTGGAGCATTACATAGATTGTGCTCCAACGCAGAAATGGCAAGAACCTCCAGCAAATATCAGTTCCAGTTCCGAGACCAAAGTTCGGTAGATTTTTGTTTTAAGATGTTTGGAAATTATTTTTCATGTGTGAACGGTGGTTTCACAAAGTTAACAAACTGATGGTTAACAGCAGTCATCATATGCAGATCAATTCTTGCTTCCAAACTGTTAAGTTTTTTTTTTTGTGGACACTTATTTGCTTTAAATGCAAGAAACCAATGGATCTGCTGGGTTCTGATGGTGACACTCAAACAATGTACAAAGAAAGCTCTGTTGAAGAATTAATTTTCTCTTTCGGAGCAGTGGGAGTTTTTCAAGATGGCACGCATAGCACCGTGCTACCAACTTTTCCTTTTAATATATATTTCCACGTGTTTCTGTTAGTCACAGCAGTATAGTATAGTTTGGCAGCACTAGCCAAGACCATAGCAGTATTATTTGGTGTTCAGTTAGTGTTGTGGTTGCAATCGAAGACTTGTATGGAAATTTTTTTTTTTTTTTCTCCCTGTGATACAATAAATGTTAGTGCAAAATGGGCAGTGAGTAATGTGCCTTCATCTATTATGGAACACATGTTGCAACGCCTGTGTCTGCAGGAATTGGGAGTGTTGGCATGTCTCTCTTCTGTTAGAAACACCAGAGACTGGGTGAAGATAAATAAAGCAATCAAAACTACAAGAACCAGGGAAAGAGCGACAGAAGACACCGTCTCATTTTCTCTCCATGTATGTTCTACACTTTCATTTCCTGGGAATCTCAACCCACATGCTTGTTAATTAGTGTACTGGCTAATCAAATTCACTTGTTTAATATTGGGATTAATTACATCTTTCACAATTCCTTCGAAAACAAAATTATTTTAAATGTGGTTTTGTCCACGTTAAACTTAAACCCACCTCTAAAAACTGCTATAATATGTATTCTAAAAAAAAATAAAATATTAGTAGAGGAAAACTTAGGTGATTGCACTTGTCAAAACATACCCATAGTCCAAAATTTGTTTTTTTATTGCAAAAAATTGTCATGGTGAGGCTATGGGAACTTCACAATTATATTTAACCCCTAACCTATCCAATTGCACATGCACACTTGAAACGTGCATTCACGACCTAATAACATACCTATTTAACGAAAATTTCAACTCTCTTCTTCAGGAAACCAGTTCATAGTCTACCAATATGTGGCAGAATCTAAAAATTGCCTTACGATTGGAGCAGGGCTAAACGAAAGAGGAAACAGTTCATGGTAACCTTTAGTCTGATTGAATGACATGGCATTGCAAAATGTGTGTTGAATGTAAATGTACATGCCAGCAAAACAACTTCTTGTAATGCCAGAGTGTCTCACTGCAATCTGCAAAGTTGAAGCGGAACATTGTGCACTAGTGCAACTTTTGAAAGGTGCGTGCGTAGAAATGAAACTTCAATCAGTACTTTCCAATGCACCAAGCCATGCTTTTTTTTTTTATTTCCTCAATTTTTTTTTTTTTTTATGTGGGTAAAGGAGCAGCATCTCGTCTGATGTAAAGTGTAAAAAGCTAAATTTTCTCATCGATAATCTGCCATTACTTTTACACAACACGACCACGTAACAATGACGCAAAATGACATTATGCCAAAGGTAACCCTTTGTTTGACGGCCATTAAATGAACACAAAAACTGACTGAACAGGTTTGAGCAGAAATTGCAGGGACTTGTTGCACTTCGAGCCAGCAGATTGTAATCTGCATGCCGCTCAACTTCTCGCTGTGGTGAGATCGTCACTAGTGTATAAATCATAAATGCACACTATTTCACGCAATCAATTGCCACTATGGCTCTTGTTTTCCTTTTTTGTTCAACACGAACATCTCATTCACGCTATAGTCGTAAAAGTAATTTGGCACAAGGCAAACACACCTAAGATCATTCAACTGGGTAAAACTTCACAGTAGAAACAGTCGCGGTTATCCGTCACTCCAACCGATGCCCTTCCTACTGAACGACCCCATCAAAACAGACGATCGGGAACTCTGGTTGTAATTCTTCAATACGTCACCTTCCTCGTGCAGCTAAATTTTTCATTAAACCGATTTGTTGCCAGCACATCAGTGTTAACAAAGCCCAGTCGACGCACAGTCGTAGACAAAAGAAATCATAGGCACACTCGCGTGCCAGTGTCGAGAAGGGATAGACGACGTCCTTCGGATAGAGAATAGTTCTTCGTCCCCCACAACAGGTGGAACCAAAAGGCAAGGTAAATTACAGTTTTCAGACAGAAAGACGCGCCGCACTTCTCACAAGCAGCAGTCTGCAGTGCCGAGCGGCGTGGCGGTGCGGCTTTGACGATTGGCTGCACCGCACTGGAATTAACTGGAACGCAGCGAGTCGTGCTTTGTCACGCACGTGGGCTGGCGCCACCTATAAAAGGCAGAGCGCAGTACGAGGCACCTTGGGGCAGACAAGTCGAGGCTGGATCGCACATCTGCATTCGAGTGCGACTAAATGCATTGCAACTGCGTGCGACTACTTACGAGTACTGGCACCATCTGTCAAGTAGCCATGGAACACCTACGATCTGCATATAACTAGGCTTAAGGTTCCGCAGCATTTGCGATCAAATCTATGCACTATCCACGAGAAATGGTTGCTGATAACATTATCGTAGGAATTTCGATAATGTTAAAAGAATTGCCTAAAATGTTTGAATATACTCGGATTAGAAGTGTTCCCGGACTACTTGACAGATGGCGCCAGCGTGCGCTTCCGTCTAAAGCCCCTCTATCCTGGGAAAAGTGGCGCCATTCATTGTTGTGCAAATGTTTGAAACGCATGCCGAGCGCCACTTCAGAGAAGAACACGGCGTCTGAAATCTAGCTTAGTGCTGTGCTGTGCCACCACGATCTTCCCAAGGACTGCACGTGCCTCGTGCATTGATGCACCTTGCGCTACTTTTGAAACACTGTTGTCAGCAGTCGCACGTGGTCGCAATGCACTGTGCCACTCAGACGCGGATGCGCAAACCAACCTCAAGCACACGCGTGCCAGTTCCTTTTACCTACGACTGTATGCTCGAAGACGGGATCCGTATCTAAGCAAGCGGGCGTCATAAACAAGTAGGTGCGTCCGCGGGGAAAGTGCTTGCCAACACTGTCGTGAACACGGGCTTGCACTGTGCCCAAACCCAGTCCTGATCCTCGCCGCGACTATCGCGGGCGTCGCCACGTCTCTTCCTCAAAGTCTCCGCCAACTCCACTGGGTCGTCGCAGGAAGGAATCGACGTGTCGCCAATTGTGTCGACGGAACTGGTTGCGTCAGTGGAGCTGGTTGCACTAACAGAGCAGGCTGTGCCAACGGAGCCAGCTGCGCCAATGGAGCCAACTGCACCAATGGAGCAGGTTGCATCAACAGAGCCGGCGTCGTTGTGTCGACAGAACGGCAGGCTGAGGTTGAGGACAGTTAGCCGCCCCTTGCGCGGAACCTGGAAGCTCGGCCTCACGTCCATCAGCGCAAACTCGACGTCGCGCCTCCGCAGGCAGAGGAACGTCGTCAGCTTCGTCGTCGCTGTGCCACCGTCCGTCTGTCCGACGGCGCGGAACGTCTCTAGGACCTGTAGCATGCAGCGGCGGAAAGCGGACGTGTCTCCGCACGTGCGGCAGGCGAAGTCTCGCTCGGGGACGCGGATGACGTAGCTCTCGACCGGCGACATGACGGTGGGGCCGAATACAAGCAGGACCTGAAACAATAAAATTAGAGTAAAAATGCAGGCGAGCTAGTGCACATTAATAATGCAAGAAAAAGGTCCTTAGAGGATAATTAAGAAAACAATTAGAATTATGGGAGCTGTAAATTGTATTAGTAAGCCTTCACTGACTTTGGACGACGAGACACGGGCGTTTTCGTTCGTATGGTTCCTTTGTGTTCTGTGGTAGTTGCATGCTCGCCATCTTTTTTGTCCGTCCGAGACGCTGGCAGCTTTTCCGTCTAGTCCCCCTGTGTCCTGTAGCGGTTAGTTGTGGTGCTCGCCATCCTCTCCTTTTTGTAATAGAATTATGCCAAACCGTAGCTTCTGAAAGTGACAGTTTAACCATTTAAAAATGCGATGTGGGAATGTGTTCCCCACGGTTCATGCTTGGCAAAGAGAGTCGGAAAGAAGATTGTCCCGAAAATAAATAATTTCTGTGCTGGTTTTGAGACGGAGATTTTCTTGTCCTCTGTGTTCCTTGTCTCTACAGTCTGTTGCAACTCAAGAACGAAGGGCGAGGGTAAGACGGGCCGGGGAGGAGGAAGCAGATGGAACGCTAAAGAGAGAAGGAGGTTTCCCCTTCTTCTCCAGCGTTCCGCCTGCTTTCTCCTCCCCGGCCTGCCTTACCCTCGCCCTTTGTTCTTGGGTTGCAACAGACTATAGGTTTTTCATTATGAATGGACCTGAGACAACTTGTTGCTCTGGATGAGCTGCTGTGTCGACGTGAAGATGAGGTCCATGGCATCGATGGAGGCGAGCGCGCGGCGCTGCTTGATCGTCCGGATCGGATGCGCTGGCTGCAGGAAGCGAAAAAACAAGCTTTAATCGATGGTGTCGCGCAAATAATTGCATCCATCGTGTCCCCACAAATATGGCCCCAAGTCATAATTAACTTTTGAGTGCCAATGTTTTTTTTTTCCCGCATGCTGAACGCATATTTTTTGACTGATTAACGCCGTAGCCTGCTTTGCAAAGAATAATTATTTATAAAAGACGCGCTATATCAATGGGCAAAAAAACAATTGATATCCGCGTGCCTCCAAACTACGACATACTACTCGTACTGTACTTTTCGCGACACGATGCTATGCAGTGGCACCTCAACCTTGCACCCTTGCACCCCGAGCTCACTCTTTTGAGCGGCTTTACTCGGCTTTTGTTCATTTGGAACAGTGACTTCCTTGTTTTCACAGCTGGCGAACGCCGAGCTGGTCAGTCATTTCTAGATCCCCGTGTCCGCCATGAAGTGCGAGGTTGAACGACACAGATTCGCCATTCTGTAACAACGAAGGAGCGTACCAACGCGGCAGTCGCCTAAACAGAAAAAAGCATGCCATTGTAAAGTGACACTACAAATCCTAAGCTATGGTGAAAACTTGCTTGTGTCTTAAATAATAAAAACACAACGTCTCGGCTTGAAAATTACTTAGCTGTTAATCTTTTTTTTTGTTGTTGTTGTTTTTTTTGTTTTTGCTGGGCTTTTGTTTTAGCTGATGTTTTGTCGGTTGTTCCCCCAGACTCTGTCTTGGGACCGCTATTATTTCTAACGGTTATCAATTATGCTCGGAATATTGTTGGTATATATATAAAATCATATGGTGATGACCGCATTTTATTCACCGAAGTGAAAAATGTCAAGAATCAACAGTTATTTAACCTTTCGCTAGAAAGGTTGGCCGAGTGGTGCACAACTAGGGAAACATGCGCGGGGTAAATATTTTGCAATGTTATTATTCGCGAAAGATTAGATCCTCTCGAAAAATAAGTCGTGTACAGCATATGCAGAATGAAGAAGTAACAATTTTGTACGCATTTTTGAAGCTGAAACATGTCTTCACATGTTCACGAGATGTCTTGTTCCCAGCCAAAAGCGGTGCAACTAGCAAAAACGTTTGTCAAAGTTGCGAGGTAAGCAGCACTGCTTTTGACCGCAAACAAGACGCCTAGTGCGACGCCAATAAATCTTCAGGTAATCTTACTTTGGTTTTGTTTGCAGAGTTGCAGTCACTGGTGAGTTGCTTGGTTGACCTTTTGAACTCATCGTACGGCGTCGGAAGCTGTTCTCTTTCGTAGAGGATGTACTTGACGATCTCAACAATTAGTTTTCCCAGTTTATCCGGCGCAATTGTTTTTAAAAACGGTACTTCAAGATCCAAACGAACTTGCTGCTTCGATCTGGAGCCGGATGCCATGTTTAAACTTCACGCCTAGTGACGTCACGGTCACGATGTCTCGTCTGCGGTGCAATCACTGCATACAGTGTTATATAAATCCATATTAAAATATTTATTTACAAAATACAACCACGTACTACTTTGTGGTGAAATTACTTTAAAACAATAAGATAGTTCGTCAAAATGTGGGCAAATTTTGCAGACGGTTTTAGTTGCACTCGGTAGATGACACCACATTACAACACAACACACATGAACCGAACAATTTACTTGCTTTGTAAAGTCGTTTATTATAAATAAACGCATTACTCGCAAATATACATTTTTAATATACTTGATGATACAATATAATTTGTATGCTTAAAACTTTAAATCAGGCAACCTTTGACTAGTGACACTTTACAATTGTAGATGGCGCGACGACTACATGCGCCGAATGACGTCATAAAAGACATACCGGTTTTTTAAACGCATGCTTTGAAGGAAAGCCGACTTCGGCGGCGGGGCAGGCGGGGGGCATTCAGTTTGGGAGAGGAGTTGTCTGGTGGCGGAGGTAGCGTGGTTGAGTTGGCGTCATGGCGGTGAGTTTGTGTCGGCGTGCGGAAGCTTTGTGATCTTTGTGCGTGCCGACGGAAGCGACCATGCCATCGTGAGCCGCAGCGCGCGAAAACTTCGCCCCCGGCGCGGCTCGAGAGACATCGACCCGAATGGATTTCCCACTGAGGCTACTGACACTGCTGGCCTTCACCGGTGAGTTCGTTGGAAGAAAGAAAAGCCCCCCTCTTCTGACAGCTCTGCTCGGTTTGGGACGCTCTTTCGCCGACTTCTTGGGACTCTGTCGCGACCGGCTTGTTTGCTGCATCGATGTCTTGTATGAATGGTACACTTCTGGAAGTTCTCGGTGTACGCTCTTTTGCACGTGCGTCGTTATCGGATGATCTACTAAAACTCTAGTCATTGCGAAGAGTCGTGTCCAATATTGACCTTCACAGTTTATGTGGCTAAAAGATGTTCTGTATAGTCAGTGGAACATGGATACCGATCGCCCTTCTCATTGGCTGAGCTGTTAAGAGGAACGTCTTTGATTGGCGTTCAGGGTGCATCGCGGTGCAGTATTCACCCAGGGGTGCAGACTGTAACGACGTCGTATGTTCAATCGGTTTCTCATAAACCGTTCAGCCTTGACGTATACGACATTTTCTCAAACAGTATCTAACCATTATATATATATATATATATATATATATATATATATATATATATATATATATATATATATATATATATATATATTCCTTCGACTTTTAAAACATCCTTCGAAGCTCTCGATCGGGTCTGCCATCAGCTGCATCGTCGGTTTCTCTTTAATCTTGTCAATGGTCTGAGGTCATCTATCCTTCAACCGCGATTTCAGCTTTGGAAAAAAATGCAGGGAGACATGTCTGGGCTGCAGGAGTGGGAAGAAGCAAACCTGGGTGACGCATGTGTTTTGCCGGAAAACCCTCCACGAGATGTGACGAATGTGCACGCGCATTGGTCGTGATGAAGCTGCCAGTCACCAGCTGTCCATCCGTCCCATTCCTCATTGAATCATCCCCTAAAGCCTCCTTAATTATTTGTGCCATGTCCAGTTTAAAGCAGAACTTGAGGCATATCCACTCTGGAAAACTCTGTCAGTTCTAAATACGACGACTGCACGATGTTTCACCTGATTCAGTGACGTCTCGCTGCCAACTGAGCAGACGCTAAGTGAAGTGATTGTTCACGCATGCGCAGTAAGGTCCCGTCTGACTGTCTCCAATTTGACGACCAAGCTGTGCCCCGTGTGAGCCAGTTGTTAAAAATGGCTGGATACTTCTGGACAGGTCTCGTATGCGTATCGCGAAGGTGCGTTTGGACGTTAATACTTTCAAGACGCAACCCTCGATACTGAAGCAAAACGTTAAAAGTAACGTTTATAGATTTGTCGCAATACTTCGGGCTCGACAATATGCATTGATGTAACGTCAATGTGGATACTTTCACTTGCTCGCTTTATTTGGTCTACGGATTATCAGCACAATATCTTAGGAAAAATACGCACATGCAACGTTAACGTAACGACACGTTCCAATGCTAGAAACGTAACGGGAACTCGATCCAAGGTTGAGAAGGAACGTGTACAGCACTGGTTCCAGTCATAATTTTCATTCAAACAGGTCAGCGACGCTTGTGTGCTTGTTCCACGGTGAATACTTGCATGGCAACCCATTGTTTGAAAACAAGCGCGTTTTTCACGCAAACACCGCACTGCAAAAAAAAAAAAAAAAAAAAAAAAAAGCTATTAGATGTTTTTTATCGGTTTTTATATTAATGACCCCTTCATGGACACGGATCCAGTTTTATGATAAGTCGAATACCTGTGACGTGGACAGCCTTCCTATTTTTAAAAGGTTAAAGAGAAGTGCGTTGCTGATGGTTATTTTAATGCATTTTTTCTTTCTTTCACCTGGTTTACGTTCATTGATTGATTGATCGAAGACCTGGTGCCGTGCAGCGCCCAATAATACTGGTCAAATATTAGATACAACGATATTTATTTCGAGGGAGCTTTGTGAGAAAAGAGAGATGAACATTAAATATTTATACCCTCAGTCCTCGTACCATTAAAAAAAAAAAAATGTACGTGGAATCTTATTGGGACGTCTAAACTTTGATTTCTCACAATAAAAAAAAAGTCCTATTTTAAAATATATTTAAAAAATATATCGTGCTTCTTACTTCGTGTTTAGCACCAACACTTGTCAAGTGATCAAGACGGAGTGCGCTATCAAAAAACGCCGACTGAAAAAAAGAAATGTCCAACGGATTTGCCGTATTTTGATTTATTGACAACTTAACCATCACCTTCAATCCAAAAAAAAAAAAAAAAAGTTTGTTTCGAAGTGTTTAAGCAGTTCAAAGCAAGCATACACAAGGCTATAGCAAAGCTAACCTAAAACAACAGTGACAGTGATTTATTTTGGCTCAGGAGAGCCGAGGCGCCGCAGAAAGGCAAGTCTTGAAGGCCCGCAGCACCGCGTCCAACGATGATGAGATGGTATTGTACAGATGGACTTTTCAAAGAAATGGTGATGATGGTTTGAATAGAACTGGTGGACGAGGGTGAGTGGTTGATGTTGCGGTTGAAGAGAGTGAAGAGTGTTGGGCTTGCAGCGGTCTTCGCGATGGAGGTCTTCGCGGGGACACCATGGGCTGCTGACTTCTAGCAGGTCGGTCTCGAGCGCCTGGCGAGGGCTCCCTGCGCGCACGGCTTGCAGACGAGCGAGCCACCATGCGTTCGAGCTTGTAACTTAGTGGCCTGTGAGCACCCTGTCGATCGAAGTCACGGTGTGTGCTACTGGTCAGTCTGGCCCTCTGACGATGTGAAAAAACACGTATTACACCCAGCTGACTTCCTCTTTTGTGTTTTGTTTTTACGAGAATATTTCTGTTTTCGACACTCGTCTTTCTGATTGCTCTGGCGTCAGTCTAAAAAAATCCGTAGAACAAATAAGATCGGGTTGCCAGTGAAAAGGCCGTCGCCTGATGTCTGCTTCTCTATCGCACCTGCGTTTCATTCACGGGTGTTGGCGACGTGCGCTGGGTAACTTGTCAAAGAGCACAAACTTGCAGCCCCGACGAGCCAATGAGAGCGTCGAAGCGAGTCACGTGACAACGTATCGTGGGCACTCATTACTCCCGCGGAGAGCTGTCACATGCTTCGCTCTTCCCTTCTGATTCACTCTCGGGGCCTTCGCCCCTTCGCCCAAGTTATGCTGTAACGGAGGGTAATTTGCGAGCCAAACGTTTTCTCGTCCGCCCAAATGTGCTCGGCGGTTCGCCGGGGCCCGTAATCTCCCAGCGGCAGGTGTTCCGGACGTTACCTTTTAGGAAATCCAAACGCCGTGTTCGGTGGTCACGTGATCGCCATTTGGCCCGCCAGTTTGTGCTTCTTCCCCCATCGCGTTCTTAACGTAGGGACGCAAACCGCGGACATTTACGAACCAACATCATAAACGTTTTGCAAGGCGGGAAGGTGTGCAGGCGAGCTGGAAGCTTCATAATTTGGACCAGCTGAGGCACTGAGGAATATATATATATATATATATATTCCTCCGTGCCAAAGATATATATACAGGGTGTCACAAAAGAAAATTTACACGGTCTTTTTAGCCGCAAGAATAAACTAGGCATCGCCGAACGCTCATTCTCCGCCCAAAGGTAGAGCTAGAGGTCACAACCAGATGCCACAGTTTCAGCCCGATCCGATAACTTAATCAAAAGTTATTAGTGATTTTCTGAAAATTTCAATGGGAAAATGGCGGCCGACGGAGTTTTCAAACACATGGGGCTCTATGGCACCAGAAACCGAAAACAGGCAAAAATGGGCTCCATTTTCCCATTGAACTTTTCAGAAAACCACTTATAACTTTTGATTAAGTTATCGGATCGGGCTGAAACTTTGGCATCTGGTTGTGACCTCTAGCTCTACCTTTGGGCGGAGAATGAGCGTTCGGCGATGCCTAGTTTATTTTTGCGGTAAAAAAGACCGTGTAAATTTTCTTTTGTGACACCCTGTATATACCAGGAATGGGCAAAATACATGCAAATGTATCGAAATACAAATACAAAATACTTCGTCAAAAATGTATTTAATTACAAATCTAATTACATTTCCAAAAAAAAGCATTTAAGTACAAGATACAAATACAACCAAATATATTTGGTCTCCTCCAAATACTTTTCCAAATACATTCCTCAAAATTTGCCTCAGCGACTTCCGGGCACCTGCAACGGGTTTCTGGGAATCTCATTTTAATTTTGCATCGCACACTCGGGAGTTAGTGTACGAGGCTCTAGTAACGTGATAGAAATATACTCACACACAAAAAAAAATGTAATCAGCTTGGACGTAATAGGTGAAAAAAGTAAAGAGCTTCAAGCAGTTTTTTTTTTTTTTTTTGTCCGATTACATTTTAGTATAAACCAACAAAGAACCGAGACGACCAAGACGCGCAGCGCTAGTTAGAGAACTTTTTATTGTTGCAACTCGCACCAGTTAGGACAATCTGGGCGACCCGCGCATTTAGGATGTTCCAGGCAAAAATATGGATGGAAATCAGGCTGGAAAGCATCAGAAGTTGTCACAGGCACTTATTTAGCCAGTCTGCCTGTGAACGTCGATTTCGTCACTATTCTTTCCCTGGACTAGCACCGTAATCACAAAGTCACAAAACGCTTGTGCTTGATTGAGAGACACTGCATTCGGTGCAGAACTTAGTTTTTTTCCTGCTCTGGACAGTGACAATAAATTTGAGGGATGTATTTTCGCCCACAAAATTGTATTTAATTACAATTGTATTTGAAATACCCACGTTTTAGTATTTAAATACACACGTCAAATACATTACCCAATTTGTAATTAAATACAACTGCAAAATACACAAAGTATTTGAAATACGTATTTCAAATACTTGTATTTGAAATACTGCCCATCCCTGATATATACATATATATATATATCTTCTTTTTTTTTTTCCTGGGTGTAGTGCAGCAGTTCACGAGGTTAGTAGAATAGCCTCTTTTTACACAACGCGATAAGAAACGAGCCTTCCACGATATAAATGAATTCCCATAAGATAATCATAAAGATGTATAAATACACTCATATTTCGCTTTATTTATCTATTTATTTTATTTTTTGAGTGACCCACCAACAGCTTAACGCC